ACTGAGCCACCCAGGCGCCCCGAGAAAAGTATTTTTAAAGTTCCTTTTATTTATCCAAATGTGACCCCTCTGTAACTTTCCCATATTTGATATAGTTTTCCTACTGAAAAAAACAAAAAACACCTCAGTATATATCTACTTCTTTTTCAAGTAAGAATGCATTTTAGGAAAGATAGTATCCTATATAACAGTACCTGTACCGATAACAAATCCTTCAAATAGATTTTTCTATAGCACATTTCTAGATTCCTACTCAACCTCCCCCGCAGAATACCCCAGTGTATCAATGACACAATTTTAAAAAATGTTGTTTGAACAAACAAAAAATAGATGTGGTTTGGCAGCTTCAAAGGCATGGTACCTTTAGATTTTTACAATCTGGCCCATATTTCCATTAATGAAGCTGATTTATTAAATTTTCTCATAACTTTTCCATTTTTTCTTCATTTAAAGCATGTTATTAAAGACTGGCCCCCAGAATTTTTCCAAAATAAGAAATTTCTCAACCAAGTTCCTTCCCCCTATCCTATAATGTCGACATTGAATTTTTAAGCAAAATTCTATTTAAGTGCTATATTTTTATTCAGAATCAGCTTCTTGCCTGTTGGGGTAGGGTGGATTAGGCATGGCTGACAGCTTTGCATCACCATAGATTTACATGTTTTTCATGAGGCAGAGGAGTGAAAGGGTCAGGCATCTGAGCTCCAGGTGTAGACTCTGACTTTATCCTGTAAGAGCTCTGATTTCTCCTGCAGGTTTCATAATCCCCTGTGCCTCAGTTTCTTTCCATTTACTACTTATGTTTACCAGTTATTTAGCACCAATTTATTTTGTGCAAATCGTGTGCAAATTAAGCGTGGTGATCCTCAATCTGGAGATGAGGAAATAGTAGAGGGCTCTCTAGTTGTTAAAATACAGGAAGCAGGAATTGAACCATGATAACAAATTTATGCTCTTCCCATACAGTTTAATGGGTGCTGTTGTGCTTTTGCTTCTTGTTTGTTTATTATTATTATTATTTAGTAAAATAATCATTTCTGAGAATGGGCAAATCATTTATGTCAGTATACCTTCTATTTCCATGCATCCTTTAGGGCACTTGATCCTCTCCAAATCCTAAAGGGTGAACATTATTTTTTGCATTTTCACGCAAGAAGGCTGAGGTTCAAAGAGCTGATATTCCTCTCCCAAAGTCCTCAGTTCACTCAGTTCCTCATTCTACCAGAATAGTGACAGGCAGAATGTGGATTCAGAAATATTTACTCCAGTTAAAAACACTGTGCTCACCACCCTACAATGGGTGTTCCAACCTTATACACAGTGCCCACCCCCGAAACAGAATCCCAAGCCCCATTTCCTGAATCACAGTATTTTTCATGTTTTATTAAAATTAACTTATATTTGCTACTACTGATTACACACTTTCTTGAAATGCTTACAAAATAGTATTTTTAAATAAAGAGAATGATCTCCTCTGGGTATCTCCAGGGTTTATCATCACACTTAATGATATTCAATCCCAAGATTCTGCTTTCTCTCCTCCTGAAACTTGGCATTCCATTTGCCTGTCCTATGTGGTGGTACTTTTTCTGATCCTCAAGAATTGTCCACAACTTTGGACATTTGCAAGTTAACTCGATACACTGAGCTGTAATATCTATGAGTCTAAAGATTTAAACATATGTCAAAATGCAAGGTGCTCATTCCTAGTTGCTTGACAATATGGTACAGAAATAGTCCCTACTTGAACTCATTTTTCCAATTACAATGATTGTATTTAACAATGATTCTGTTACCCCTTTGTCCATTTTCATTTTAAGCATAAATAGAAATAATACTATAACTTCTAGCATTTTCCAAAACCTTCACTCAGTTTTTCATTTTCCATCCTTCATTAAAGCTTTATTTCACCTTCATGGTATTTGTTTTACTAAACCCAGATTATGTATACTCTTATCTTTTGTGGAATAAAATATCCTTGAAATTTGGAAGCTTATGAAAATATTTGCTGTATAGCCAAACTGTATTCTATAGTAAAAGACAAAAAAAAAACAAAAACAAAAACCACTTGAGCTGAAAGGATAAAAGAAAGAATAAGGAGGGGAGAGAGAGAGACAAAATTTTAAAAAGGTGATAATGACTTAGACAAAGTTAATTTATTGGTTGTGTCAGGTGAATTTCCATGAGGAAAACTAAAGTACCATGAGAAGAGCAAACAATTATGATAATAGTACTGTTGTCAAATAGATACACTGATCATGTTTGTAAAATGTTGTCTGCTCTGTCTATGGAGAAGTGCTTTTTGTCCAGGCAATCTTTGATACTTCCAAGCAAGGAAGATAAAAGTTTGTTCTTTAAGACATTGTCTTGATCAAGATCCAAAAGGGAAAAAAAAAAAAAAAAAGCTTATTCTTCATGTGAGAAGCAAAGAAATTCCCAATCATTATAATTAGTTAGTTCATTTTTTAAAAGCAAAGTAAGTAAAAGTAGAAGGGGCACAGTTTGGAAGACGAGAATAAAAGAGCAAATCTGCCATATCCAAAATAAAACCTAGGTACTCAGCATCACTAGCCATCAGGGAAATTTAATTCAAACCACAATGAGATACCACCTCACACCAGTCAGAATGGCTCAAATTAACAAGTCAGGAAACAACAAATGTTGGTGAGGATGCGGAGAAAAGGGAACTTTCTTATACTGTTGGTGGGAATGAAAACTGGTGCAGCCACTCTG